AAAAGACATTGTAATCTCAAGAGTTATCTGAATAATGGAAGTCGTGCGGCCCTATTGAGCTACAGTATACAACGGGCCAAAAATTCAAAAAAAGGAAAAGTTAAAACAATATGGCTTAACAGAATGAGGTAGGATTGAAGCTGGGGTACCGAATGTTACCGATGTTGTTTGCCCCAACAGAAAGAGTTGGGTCAGAAAGAGACCACTCCTACTGACTTTATCTGATTTGAAATCCTGTCATCTTTTGCATATTCATGCCCTGACGAAGACCGCTTTTGGTCGAAACGCATAGGCAGTCCATTTTAATAAAGGACTTTTATTTTTTTACTTCAACAGAGTGCCAAAAGACTCTTTTCGACATCCTAAATCTGCTTAGATTGCCCTGTCTTTGAAGAGCACCTATTTGTTAAAGTGATTGTATGGAGTTTGCCAGAAAGAGAGACAGAGAAGTACTTGATTTGAAAAAAACAACGCAAGCTCCCTCCCCCTTCCTTTCTGATTGGTCTGCACCAACGTTTCCGCAACACTTTTCGATGTTAATCAGAGAACACATTATACATATACATTATTAATACACATGCACAGAGGTTTTCAGAATTATTTGTTAACGTTTTAATGAAAAAAAACGTTTGCGGCAAACCCGGAAGAAGCTATTATCATGAATTGCACATTATAGGACACATCTGCAGAGGATCTGATTATGGATATAGGTTCAGTATATACATAAGTACCTCAGCGCGGATGTTCAGTTTTCATGTAGTTTCAGAGCCTAATGAGGCTTGATTCGGAGGCTCCGCAAAAACCAACAACTGAGCATGCGCGCAGCTGCGAGCATCAGAGCTCATGATTGACAGCCCTTGGCATGACTCGATTGGTTAACCTCGACGGCATCGTGGATTCTGAGCTATAGTTAAGAGAAGGGAAGGCGGGACTTACCTGTAATATTAGAATTAATAAAATGACTTATTTTATATCAACATTTAAGGCCAGGAGGTCAATTTAACACATTTCCTAAAATTTGTAATTCATTTAGAGTTACAGACTATCACTTTAAGCCTTCTACCACTCGTAACCTCTGCAGCACTCACCTTCCTTGCTTTAAACTTTCTTTTGCATATACTTGTAGGAAAGAGCCCTTTTTAGTCACTGCTTGAAGCTTTTGGCTGGGTTTTGATTGGCTGAGTGATAGTGGTTTTCTCTTTTACTACTTTTCTGTCTGAAAAAGGCTGATCTAAAAACGCGCCAAAACTACATCATACAAACTGGTGTTCGAACCAAACCATTTTGAGACCCAGGAACTACTTAGAAGCATTGCATTACATAGTTAAAAGGTTAAGTACCTAGCTTTAATGTTTAACTAAGACCGCTGTGAAATACAAGCGCCTACGTCTCGTAAAATCTATATTGTATCTGTGTGGAGTCTTGCTGAGCACCTTTAACCCAGCAGAGGACCAGAATAGCAGGTTATTCATGTTTTATTGCTGTAGGTTTGTGTACACGGGGGTCATGTAGACTTATATGAGCCTGGATATGGAGAATATGCAACGGGCTCCACGCTGCAGCTCCATCCATCACGGCGCTGGTAAATCTAATAGAACACATCTCATAAAGGGCTGTGCCTGTTCCTAAGGGGAAAGTATGCGGCGCAAGTTTCATGAAATGGGGAAAATGCATAAAAGCTGCAGCCTTCTCCAGTAGTCTGTGCAGAGAGAGGCTTAGAAATGGAAAGAAAAGTGAGATTTTATCAGATTTTATGGAAATAATTCTTTTACAGATGGTTTTATACATGTAAGATAAAAGGCAATTGATTTCCAGTCCAAAATGATGGTGACATTTCATATAAGTATCAATCCTTTCCTTACACAGAGGAGCACGGTCTGGCGTGTCAAAACAACTCGGCATTTAACCTGCCTCACGATCTAGTCTTATGGCCGAGGCGTGAACACACACACACACACACTCTCCACACACGGTGATGACAGAAGCGAGATGCCGGACACACTGGCGCAGTGGTGGGGGAAACCAGAGATCCCAGAGTACTCCGGTACGCAGACACAGAGAAAACATGGAAACTCCATTCAGAAAGGCCCTGAGGTGGAATCGAATTTGGGATCCACTGTGCCACCGTTCCACCTGACCAAATTTGGTTGTAATTTGACACAAAAAAACCCAATATGTTCTACAGGCTACAGTTGCTTATGTGGATCAGGTGCAGAAAGTTATAAAACGTGTAAAAGTACACACAAGTCACACATGGTTGAAACAACACACACACGTTTCCCACTGTTGTTCAGGGTCAACACTTCAATACATGTAAAAAAGAGTCCACAGTGGGAATATTAAGCTTTTAAAGCTATCTCAAAGGAGACATATATGCAAAATTGACCTTTGAGCTTTTAACCATTTTACAACACTAATCCTGACCAAAAACAGACCTGTAGTTGTTTTTAGATCCATCCATGTTAATATTAGGAACTTCTGGTAACTGTGCCCCTGCTGTCTAAAAGCTCCTGTGTCAGTCCTGTAATAGTATGATCTAATTATACCACCATGACATCATACTCAGAGTTTTTTTTTTGTCATTTAAAACAAAATTATTGCCCATAAATTAGTGTTGGTAATTTTCCAGGTGAAATTATGTTCTTTGCAATCAAATGTCTGTGTTTGCAGCCAAAAACGTATAAAAGAGAAATAGTAATTCCCTTTGCTGGAAGCATAGGGAGTTACAGGCAGAAAGCATTTTTTACCTTTCATTCTTGTTTCACCATTTATTATATACTTAAGATATTATTTCACTTTCAAAAAACATAAAATGACAAAGTAAATGGTCTCATAATCTGTATTAAGTCCAAAAATAGCTGGATAATTTTACCTTTTGGTTATGTTTCTAGTGCTAGGGAGACCTGGAGCACCTTCGAAACCTACGCAGAGATAACATGCAAACTCCACTCCACAGAAAGTGCGCTTCCATCATCACCAGGGGTAAACTCAGGGGAATCTAATTTCCATAATCTCTATTCGATTTCCCTCCTGCAGACCTCGCCTCGTGTGATATGTTGCCAGAGTGTAAGCAGCAAAAAACGCTCTCCAGCAAATGCTATGAACATGATTCTATACCACTATTCCGTGTCTACCGGATGTTTCATGCCTTGAGAAAACAAGAATTAAAAACAACATATTTAATTTACATCCTTTGTATCCACCTGGAGCCCTTTCACGTCTTAATTGCATTATACTCATCTTTTGTCCTTTAACAATGTGCTGCTTTGGGACGATTTATCTGTGGTTAAATCTCTGAGGTTTGTAAATGTGAGGACAATAAACATGCACTAATCAATCCAAATACTATTGAGTTAATGAGGAAGAATAATAAAGAGTGGGATTTATCTGTTTCTCACCCAGAGCTCTCACACTGCATTATTCATGCTCTCCACATGTGGCAGCGGCGGCGGCAGCGGTAAACTTCTGTCGCTTCTATAGAGATTCTATAGAGATTCTATAGGAGGCTGAGAGTGGAAAGCTCTATAACATTTGCCCTGTTTCCACCAGCCTCAGCTCTGCTGTGCTAGGTTCTACTCTACTGTACTTGGTTCTAACCTACTCTATTGTACTTGGTTCTCTACTGTACTTGGTTCTACTCTACTGTACTCCAGTCCACTCTACTGTGCTTTGTTCTACTCTAATCTACTGTACTTGATTCTACTCTACTCTACTGTACTTGGTTCTACTCTACTGTACTCCAGTCCACTCTACTGTGCTTGGTTCTACTCTAATCTACTGTACTTGATTCTACTCTACTCTACTGTAGTTGGTTCTACTCTACTCTACTGTACTTGGTTCTACTCTACTCTACTGTACTTGGCTCTACTCTAATCTACTGTACTTGATTCTACTCTACTCTACTGTACTTGGTTCTACTCTAATCTACTGTACTTGATTCTACTCTACTCTACTGTACTTGGTTCTACTCTACTCTACTGTACTTGGTTTTACTCTACTCTACTGTACTTGGTTCTACTCTACTCTACCCTGATTGGAAGCATTACAACCGGCCCTGTTCAACCAGTTATACTTCAGTACCTGCTGGTTTAGTACCCTGGTTCTATCTAGGCTAAACTGGAACTAGTGTTCTAACTGAGTGACAGTGGTTGGCCAGAGGGCTGCTGGAAGCCATGGTTACCAAGGAATTTGCATGTGTACTGGTTTGTTGTGGCCAGGTTGGTAGCATACCGGTAGCATACGTACCTGATACTATAGCTTAATGGAAACGCAACCAGGTTGAGTAGAGCTGAGTAGATTAATGTAGAGAACGGCCGAGCAGGGCTTGTAGAAACAGGGCTATACCGTATGTCTCTCTCTGATCTCGCTCTCTCTCTCTGGTCTCTCTCTCTGGTCTTTCTCTCTCTCTGGTCTTGCTCTCTCTCTCTGGTCTCTCTCTCTGGTCTTGCTCTCTCTCTCTGGTCTCTCTCTCTGGTCTTGCTCTCTCTCTCTGGTCTCTCTCTCTGGTCTTGCTCTCTCTCTCTGGTCTCTCTCTCTGGTCTTGGGCAAACTGCACTGTGATCATTTCATTTTCATCCAACCCTAACGTCCGCGGTGCAAGTACGAGCCAATGAGCACAGGTTATTGAATTGAAAGCTATCTTGATGATTTTATAATAAATAATAAAATCATAATTGTCACAAGGACAACTCTATAAAAATAAAAAGCAGCACATTCCACAGCCCAAACTCTGACAGTACAAGCTTCACTCACCCAAGTACTGCTCCACGGCTTGAGTATTATCCCCGTATTGTTAACCTTCTTCACCTGAGCCACATGTTAGCAACAGGCTGGAAAACCTGCATTGATTGGTCATTGCTGAGTTGTTTTGACACACCAGCCTGTGTGGCTCTCTCTGTGAAATACTTAAAGATTTGTTACTTTATTTCAGAAAGAAGCTTGTTTCGTGATCTTTAAACTCATGCACACGGCGTCTCTTGTCTCTGCAGGACAGCGGCACGATGCAGTTCTGCGCAAACAAACTGGACAAGAAGGATTTCTTCGGGAAGTCGGACCCGTTCATGGTTTTCTACCGCAGCAACGAGGACGGAACGTGAGTGAATCTGTAATATCTGTAAAAGCAAAGCACAAACAGCATTGAATAATTAAATTAAAGCTTCATATGTATTTTTTCTTTAATTATAGACACAGTATGTAATATTTTAATTTCAAACTACAATTACATCTTTGTGGTCATACTTGCATGCAAAAGCCAGATCCCATAAGACCTCTGAAGCTTAGCAGGGTAGGACCTGGTTAGTACTGTGATGGGAGACCTCTTCAAGAAGTGAAGTGGAGTTAGTCTTAGTTAAATATACTGATTATCCAAACAGAGAGGCTCCTTAATTTTTAATATCTAAATCCGCAAACAGAAAATAGCACCAAACAATTGTTTGAATGAAATTCAAACATCAGTAATACAAAGAGTTTGTACCATTTGTATCTACACCCCTGCAGGTGGATTGCATCAGTACTCAATACTCAGGGGCTACATGTGTCGCTGGTATGAAGAATCAGGCATTGATTGTAATATTAATAATACATCTTCAATGTTTAGCACATGTAACAATGCTTACAAGGTGATCAGAGAGAGAGACTAGAGAGAAAAACAAGAGAGACCAGAGAGAGAGACAGGAAAGAGACCAGGGAGAAACCAGAAAGAGACCAGAGAGAGAGACCATAAAGAGACCAGAAATAGACCAGAGAGAGACCAGAGAGAGACCAGAGAGAGACCAGGGAGAAACCAGATTGAGACCAGAGAGAGACCAGAGAGAGACCAGAGAGAGACCAGAGAGAAACCAGAGAGAGACCAGAGAGAGACCAGAGAGAGACCAGGGAGAAACCAGATTGAGACCAGAGAGAGAGACCAGAGAGAGAGACAGGAAAGAGACCAGGGAGAAACCAGAGAGAGACCAGAGAGAAACCAGATTGAGACCAGAGAGAGAGACCAGAGAGAGAGGCCAGAGAGAGACTCCAGAGTGATACCAGAGAGAGACCGTGGAGAGAGACTTGAGAGGGACACCATAGAGAGAGAGCAGAGAGTAATACAGGAGAATAAAACAGACTAACAAGAAAGACAGCTGACTTTAATAGATTACTTACAGTGCATTACATACTGTCTATTTAGCTTTTATTGAGTATTTAAAAAAGGAACACATAAACATGACCAACACCTAAACAGTGAGGTTTGTGCAAAGTCGGCTGACACCTTTCAAATCTTTTATATTGCACGAGTCGCATAAGTCAAGTCTCAGGTGTAAAAAATTGTTTAGATCTCTGGAATCTCTTTACAAAAGCGCATTCAAAATTCATGATAAAACCGTCTCATGACCGTCTGTGTCATCGCTGCCATATTCTGAGCAAGAAAAAAATGCTGAGTTTTAGAAAATGTGATCAAATGTAAATCTATTTTTCGCCTCAAGATTATACACAATTTGGCAGCCAATTTGTCTAGGCGGGGAATATATCGTTGACCTCACCTCACGGTCAGAGGAGAGCATCGTGTTGCCAGATTTATAACCACATTCAATCCGGAATCTTTCTCATATCAAGCAATTACCCTCCGGAACACTCTCATAATGACAAAACCATAACGCCTGACTAAACAATGGTTAATCTCATATTTCTAATTGTATTTTGAATTGAAAAAGTCTACAGACTGATTCTTTTATTGTGAATAGACTTTCAATCAGTCCTCTTACTGTAATTATGTGATGGACCCGGCCAGGGACTAAGGAAAGACACTATTGTTAATTGTTCATTGTCCCTGATCAAACTAATAAGTTCAAATATAAAAAGGTCTGAAAATGTCCGATGAAGGAACATTTGTAGACGGTGGGTGGTATGTGGCTTCATAGTAAGTGAGTAATCCTCCCAGTGTCTTCTAACAGGCAACATTTCCTATGTTTTATTTTCTTATTTTAAGTGTTGGAGTTTGAGGGTCTTTCATCTTGTTTAAAGGAGCTATACCTGATTCTGCAAGGTTTTTTTTTTCAGTTTTAATGTTTACCACCGCCCCTCAACTCGCTCACAGGCTTCTCATTTTGAGAAACCCTCCTACTCTCCCCAAATGATATGACAGGCAAACATTAGCATTAGCACAACATCTCGTATAAGCTGTACGACCATCACTGATTAAATGGTACAAAAGTAACGCACTGCTAACAAAATATACAGTGCAATAATAAAATACCTGTCAAGTAGAATAACTGCCAATTTCGTTTCCAGAGTTAGTCTGAGGCTGGAGTCTCTCCAGCAAAGATATGATGTAAATTCACACAGGCTTGATTTCTTCTTTGATAAGGAAAGAACTAGTGTCTACTCTTCCTTGTGCAAGTGAAGAACTAGTGTGTACTCAGCCCTTTGCACGGCCCTAATTCATACATAAGCTGAATCATTGAGCAACCAAGCCATAGCAGGGACTAATAAGAGGGTGACCCATTGACTTTACATTATAATATCACTATGGAAATTATGTTGATAAGGTTTTCATGGTTTATTTCACTCTAATATATTTGTCCATCATCTTATGGATTTTCTTTTCCAGAGAAACAGCCAAAAACACACATTGATAGAACATCACTCTGGACATCCAGAGCATGTCTCAATGCTTGTGCAGCTGTATCTCTTGCTTTTCTAGGTCTGTTGGCCATGCTTCCCTGAAAAACAAAGCAAATTACAATGCCATCAAAAGGTCAAAAATCTCATAGCTCTTCCTAGTGTTAGAAGTGACACCGCACACGTTTGGATTATACAGTACTTTTGCTGATTACAATTTTAAAAAATGGTGTACGAATATATATGCTCAGGTTAAACAAAAAATCAGCGTTTTCTTGCACCTGCACCTTTCTCTCCTGGAAAGATGTGTGCTTCACCGCTGGATCAGACCTCCCCTTTAAATGTGTGAAGTCTGTAGGACCATGTGTTGTGACGGGTACATAGAACACATGGTACGCCCCAAGAGCCACCATTGCTTTAACACCAAAGCAGTCCATCTGTTGTGTCCAGCGTCGCCGCCATATCAAATAAATGAATAAATAAACATTGGCCATGTCTTAAGAAGTTTGGACAGAATTCTCTTGTCCTTTTGGAACATAATGTGCACCCAGGAAACAAAAATACAAACAGACAGAGGAACAAATGCTACTGGGTTGTGAGTTGTGCAATGCAAACCAATACGTTGCTATAAGACATGTTCACTATATGCTTGTTGTCATAGAGATGTTAAAATTGACCCATAATAATTAAAGACAGGCTTTTCACTGCTCAGAAACCTAAATTCTTACATTAAGCGGCGCTGCAGATGTGGCCTGGAAGTTAGTTCTGTGTTTGCACTATTTTTTTTTAATATAGAAATTTAAAGAAGGCAAGGAAAGTAAATTTGTTTAGCACAGTTCAAGGCAACAAGTGCTTAACAAAACAAAAATCACACAAGGCATTAACGTCATTAATAATCACTGTACATTAAAAAAGGGATGAAGATACAATCCTGCAGTTGTAGGCACAGCTAAACAAACCTGTTCTTAAAGGCGCTATACCCGTTTCTACAATGTTTGAATGTTTAGCACCGCCCCCCAGCTCGCTCACAGGCTTCTCATTTCCCCTACGCTCTCATAACACGGAGCCACCTAGTTTTATTTGCGATCTGATACGTATTCTAACATTAGCATTAGCGCAACTTGTAAGCTGTGCAACAATCACTGATGAAATGGCACTAAAGCAATGCACTGCTAACACAATATATAAGTAAAAGAATACGTTTCGCGTCCGGATGTATTAATTTAAACATTAGAATATATTCTAATATTTAATTATAATTTATTATACAGCTCCTCACAGCAGCAGTAGAACACTCCATTGACTTGAATGCAATTCGTCCGATCATTTTTTCTTGATAACAGAACTCTCAAACCAATAATGACCGCAGCCCCAATGCAATCTCTGTTTGTAATTCAGGTGTGTAAAATACTGCCCTTACTTTGCAAGTACAACAAGCTATCAGCGCCTGTCACTACATTGTGCAGTTTTTCTGCGCACAGTTGTCTGTGTAGAGAAGCTAGCGGAGCTAGCCACGCTCAATAAACAAATACATATCAATCAATCAACACCATTAAACGTCAATCGGACAATACAGTATACAGATACATCCTTAACACACATGCACGGACGATTTCAGAATTTGCTGTCAACGTTTTCATGACAAAAATACTGTTTTAAAGTGACAAAAAGCGATCGCGAAAAACCCGGAAGTTACCATGAAACAACTAGCTAGCTTAGCTGTTACCTGCCTAGCACGTCCCGGTGAAACCTTTGGGAGCTAACTATTTTATTTGCAGTCATTAAATACATTTCTAATTATAAGGGTTGTCTAATATTTGTTCAAATATGTATATATTTTTTATTTTAGAATTATATTAAAATTTTGAAGTCGAAGCCCTGGTGTTAAGCAGCGCTGTAGAGACTAGAGGACGCAGGCTGTTCGCTTCTTGTTCTGTGAGCGGAGGAGAAAGAGCGGCCCGCTCAGACTCTACTCAGCACTTTTCACTGCCTGAATTTCATACACAGTGGAATCAATGACCTCAAGTTTTCAATTAAATTATGTATTATGATACAACTTGTATGTAGTAAAAAGCATTTTTATGAACTACTTAGAAAAAAAATCGGGTATAGCTTCTTTAATCTGGACATTGTCAGAGATCTCACTTTTTATGGATTTTAGCTGTATAAATCTGAATGCCGCTTCCTTGTGTTTAGTCCTGACTCTGGGCACCAGCAGGAGGCCAGTCCCTGTGCTCCAAAGAGTCTGAGCTGGTTCCAATGGCACCAAAATGTCACAGATGTAGCGAAAGCCATAGAGCGACTCGTCCACAAGCAGAGCTGCTGTAAAGTCTATTCTCTGAGCCACAGTATAAGCTCGTGTCTCTTAGAATGAAGGTTATGGCCTCGATCCTCACGTCAGGTCGAGTGTTTCTATTGTGTCTGATTTAGTTTCCTTTTGTTTCCTTTTGTTTCCCCCATCACCCAAAACATGCACCGTATCCTCCAGCTCAGGCC